CACGAGAAGGTTGTTTGCATGGTTGCGTAGCTTTCTCATGTCCACTGATTCCCATACATTATGTGGGCGGAGTCTCCCGCGTCCGCAAGGCCTCTGGCGCTCTTACCACGCACTATCGAGTGACAAGTGGAGTTAGCTTTTGTGAGATGCAGGCTTATATAGCTTGCGAGACAAAACCTAGGCTCATTCTAAACGACAACACTTTGTCTGTTGTCTAAAATTCTACTAATCGCAAAGTGGCAATCCTCGCGGGACTTCATGAACTGGAGGCCCGTTCTTTCACTTCCCACCCTGTTCTGTGCTCTACTCGCTTGTAAGTCAACAAGAACCTTGATTTCAGTGTCTGTAGATGACAATGAGAATCCACTGTTTATTTGTGCAACGAAATGTTTCGCACCTCCCGATTACCTATGGTTCGCTGGTTCTGCTTTTTTTCGTGTCCGCAGTGCATAGATTGGGCGCAACTCGGCTTGGTGGGGGGGGGGGGGCACCTGGATGGTATTACAGATTACTAAAGTTGCGCAGGCCGCCTGTGAAAACCTGTGAAACCGTGCGACTAAACACGTCCGCCCTCTCACAGCTTCACAGGAGTTTACAGGTTTGGCCGAAGCGTTACTTGTCTGTTAGCATGATCCAACAACAGGGGCTAGTGAAAATGCACCCTCTAAGCCGAGTAGCACATATAGATTGTTCTGCTAGGAATGAAAATTTCTCCATTTCCAGCATTCCGCAATGCAACTCACACCTAGGCGTCACGAACTTCTCTCCGTCTATATGTTAGGCGCGGGAACATTGTTCCTCTATCTCGGTTATACTATGCAAGCATTCATAGGTGAAGCAGTCATTCATGCTGTTAGTGAACGGTACCCAGGAAGAATTTCACGGCTGGCTGGATATTATGGGTGAGTGTCATCACTTGTGCGTGGTGCAAGGCTTCTAACACAGCTGTGAATTCTATGAATTTCAGGCAGGCAATCCATTATACAGCGTTTGCTACTTCATCGCTGCTCACTCCAACTCTACAAACCTATTTGCGTTCCAAATGGATTCTCACTATGGCTAGTCTACTGTTCGGCATTTATTATTTAGGATTTATTCACGTGAACTCCATCTACTTCTATATTTCGCAGGCTCTCATGGGCGTCGGTTATTCGTGTAAGTGAGAATAAACGAATCCTCTTGCAATGTTTCACGAGTTTCATAGTTTGTCCTACGAGTGAGCAACAGTAGGCTGGTGTAATTTGGTGTGGGTGCGTGCCAAATGGCTCAGAGGTCGCTAAAGGCATTACCGAACACCGCGCTGTACCTGGCACACCTACGTTCGCTTCAGATGAAGGGGCCTGTCAGTCGGGATGGGTTTGGCACACCGTTAGCCCGTTCTTCAGTTGTTGAAGCAGGTAAGCGACAGCATCTGGTGGAAAGCAATGGATGTGAGCGACGTGATACAGCCTCATTTGCTAAAAGAATAAAACATGCTAGCGCTGCGCCAAACCCATTCCCTCTTGACACGCCCCATCATTTGCAGCGAACAAGACTGTGGGATGGTGCAAGAAAGCCACCTGCGTTTGCAGATATTCATAAATAGTCAGCCAGCTTTATCCTGCCATTATGAACTTATTGTTTTTATGCTATAGAAGGCGCTGCCACATTTTGTTCAGTTTTTTGAAACTTTTAGATTCCCACTATATGATCTGGAAGCATTCTTTCAGAGACTTAAACAACATCACCAAGTCTTTTTCAGTCTATAACAATGGCGAAGGCGCGTAAACCTGTCGGAGCATTCCTCAAGACAAACTCTGGAATCTAATACTGGCATCGAGACAGCGGTCGGTCATAGCAGGTGAGAGTAATTCTTCCCTACACTTTAGTGTCGACGCTGAGGGCGGCAATGAT